CTCAATATGTCCCTACCCAACCAACCATTCATATTGATTGATAAGAATCAATGCTGCTTACAGGTGCCTTACTAGTAGTAACAAAAAGCTAGTAGAAACAGGTGCCACGCTAGTAGTAACAGGTGCCTTACTAGTAGTAACAAAAGCTTCCTACCCCCCCCAATTTCAAAGCACTCTGCATCGCTCCGTCTTTCTGGACATGACGGGGGGATCTTGCCCAAACTTACAACAGTCGTCTGCTTACCGCTTCTAGCCGTCATGTGCTGTGTGCCCTAAGGCGCTAGCTGCTCTCCCTCCAAGATGCCTCTTGTAGCTCCTGGAAAAATGGCTGGCGCCTCAGCTTTTCTTCAGGATTCAGGCAACCTTTCAAGCGCTGGAAGGCAGCGCTGAAGAGACGCACACGACCTCGTAGTCCTGACACTGACACGAAATGCTGAGAAATGTTTTAACTATAAAGATGTTAGTTGGCATTGATAGTCGTGTTGCATCCAGGGAAAAAAATCCTCATATCAGCAAACTGCTTTGTTTGTTCATGTTTGTTCTATCTTTTGGGGCCACTACAAACGTGCAAATCTTTGGCCAGGCGACTCTGCAGTCGATCATCCGTGGCCTGGGAGGTCAGGATGACTTGGATCCAGCCAGCAATTACTTGATGGGTGCAAGTCACAGAACCATGTAGTGCGGGATACCTATGAGTGTAACAAAATGTAAAAAAAAATCATCGCTCTTAAGTTTCTCGCAAATCACATTATATTATCTAATTGAGCCACGACAACCTAAAGTTGTTTCGGTGGTATGGGCCGACAAGTGTTGCATTATGAATGAGTGTAACAAAACACTCGGAACATTGATGCAACATATTAAATCATATTAAATCAAAGAAACATTCAATTGTTTCGAAACGAGGGCAACAGCTTTGGCATGGTCTTTGGAAGCTGCTCGCAGTTGGTGCGCAACGTCGTCTGCAAGGAGTTGCGCTTTCAGGAGACCAGTAGACCTGACCAAACCCACAAAAATGGTGGAATATAGATAACATGCCACGTGTTTGAACACGCTAATAGCCTATTATACAAAAAACATGTATATAAATGAAATTGAATCAAAACTGCAACATCTGTAGCGTGCGCCACTTCTCTGCCATGCCACCTTCTCTCCCGCAACTCTATGTCCTTCTCAAGCTCGATCAACCTCTTCCCCAGTCGCGCTCTTTCGGAGATCATCTCCTGCACACAAAATAACCACGTTCAACAAAAAAAATAACACTCGTATAAACAACAGTTTCAAACAGAACACCTTCTTTGGGGAGGTTTTCCCATCCAAAGCGCGGTGTCCGCGCGGGCCTGCCCCGGATTTGTGGGAGGGGTGTCTATATGGGAACACAACATGGGGGCCTCCTACCCTCGAACCTCAACGCATATAGAACTCTGACATGACGTGTCATGAGCTAGTTCGTTTAATGAAACGTTTCAAGCAGAACACTTTAATTTAACTCTTTGGTTTGACGATTGCCGCCCCCCTTGGTAGCTGTCCCTTCTTTAGTCACTAGGAACCCTTCGCTTTCTTCTGATTTCCTTCTGTTCTCCTCTGTTCCTTCTCCTGCTTCCTCTGTGCAATCACATTGTCTAGCGCCTCGCTCTCTATCATTCGGCCCTTCATGACCAGCCACTGAATCTCCTGCTCCGGCACAAACTTTGCAAAACCCCATTCCTGCAAAGTGGTATACACGCCCCTTTTCTGTCACCTACCAGCCACCTAGCCATGACATGACCCCGCATCTCCTCTGTGGCCTTCGCATCTGTCCAGACCCTCATCTTTCTTCTGATTCCTCTTACACCTGCACCTCCCACACGCCACCCCCTTCTCTCATCTGCTTTGACATGTAATTCAATATGGTTTGCCATCGTTCCTTCGAATCACAGCGCCCAGCAAGGGCGTGGTAGTCTGGCTGCAGACTCTCTGCGCTGTGAAAGGGACCCCACAGTGGCACTTCTCTGAAAGCCCCATTAGGTAGGACTTACAGCGCCAACCCACTCAGTGACCAGTCCCCCTCTTAGCCGACTTGAGTGAAACCAAAGCTGCCGTCCCAAATGGTGATAACCGTTAACTCCATGAACCTCGTCTAAAATCTTTAGACACGACCTCAATGAATACAATTCCTCAGCCCGGTACTCCCATTCAATTTCTTTTTCCTTGCGCTCCAAGAAAAGCATTGAGCAACCCTCCTAGACGCCTTGCCATTTTTACACAGCCGGTTTCAGCGGCCCAGCATCGAATTCTGCATCGACTTCTGCGGCCCTTGGCATCCTCATCCTGACTTCCACGGGCGCAAAGAATGGCCGCAATGCGCACCGTTTCTTCAGGGCTGGCGCTCTTGTGACCCAGTGTGCTTGAGGCAGTCTTTCCAGTCAGGCATGTCACACCAAAGTGGTAGAAGATGAGCTGGTTCCTCAAGATGACTAGCCAACGATTAATTAACGCCCCTATACTTGTTGCTTCCACTCTCCCTCTCGAAGCACGGGGGGTCCTGCACGCGGCCTCTTGCACGTGGTTCCACCTTGCGGACTTTTTCCTTCAATCGCTCAGGTCGAGTTCCTCGTGAGTTACTTGTCGGCTCCAACGCATGATGCTTTGGGATGAACCCGAGGAAGGCTCTCCTGTTTGCCATCCCATCCGGCATGTTTTTTCCTTCAGCGTGTGGAGCGTTGCGCGAGCGGCCCTGCTTTACACCACCACGAAATGCCCCTCGCGATTTTCTTGAAGATGCTACTGCAACAGAAACTTGCTGCTTCTTCTTCTCCTTCCCCCTCTTTGCACCCATCTCCATCCGAGCTGTCCTCAATATAGATCCTGGTCGCTTCATCTTCACTGCCTTTGTCAGCCTTTTTCGCATCTTCTTGACGGCTGCGTTTTTATACCTGTCCAAGCCCTCCGCAAGCCACATTCCCAGCATGTCAACTCTGCCTTCATGGACAAGCAAATTCACGCTTGTCCGGGGAAAGCGATTTTATATCGGAAGCTCTCTATCCTATCCGGCTCAAGCTTCCGCGCGGGCTCCTGAATCACTAGGTCAGCCAAGACCTGGCTCACCATCAAAGGGTTCACATCGATCCCTGCCAAAGTCTAGAGTCTAGAAGCAAGTGCGACTGCAAGTGGGAGATGGTCCCATCCCCTCGTCGCTTTGGCATAGACAAAGTGGATGCTTGTCATTCTTCCATGCTCGGTCACAGCACGCACCCACTTGGTCATGTTGTCAAGTACCTCCTCACAGTGAAGACGCGGCACTTCCCAATCAAGCCTCTCCTTGCTCAACCTGAGCGTTGTAGTCCTTAAGAGGCTCCATTATAATATAAGCTTCACGCTGATCTTCTCCTCAACCTCGCGGCCAAGCTTCATGACAAAAAAACCTAGTGTCCCTCGTGCTGGGGCCATGGGTGCTATACCTCACATCGCCACCATCAACCTTGAAAGCTGCTTTGGGCTTACTCGCCACCCCCTTCATGTCCAGAACCCTGCGTTGAGACTGAAGCCCTTCCTCCCTGAACACGCTCATCGACATCAACCATCGGTACTGCTGCTCTGACCTGTGCTGCCTTCTTCGTCACGTGGCTCACCGCAAGCTTCTGGCCCTTCAGCCCAACCTCGTGAAGCAAATGGAGCAGCCGTGCAGCCTCTGCTCCATTGGCTGCAAAGTCACGCTCCATCTACCAACACAAATTGGGGCCTCCTACCCTCGAGCCTCAACATTACAGTAAAGAAAACAAACTCTGACATGACGCGTCTTGAACGATTTCTAGAGCATTTCTACTTGCAGGGAGCAGCATGCAGAGCTTCAAGGCACAATAGAATGCGTTTTCCTGTCCACGAAGTGAAAAGGCAATAATTCAATACTTACACGTATATATAGTATTGCTGAGAACAGTGATTCACTTGAGTTCCAGTGAACTGGAGTTTGGTTCTCTCCAGTCCTCTAGCGTATGGTCCATGACATACACCGTCAGACCCTCTGATGAGTTCGGTGGGAAAGCTGCGGAAGGTCTGGGAAGGGCTCTCGTGGAAGGTCTGTTCTGCGTGCTTGGAGCTGAGCCTTTGCGTGTCTGCGTGAAGTAGACACGAGACGTCATGGTAAAAAGCTGGACAGTGCTGCAGAAAAATTGCAATTTAACGATTGGGCTCGCGCAATCAATAGATCTGAACTCTGAACCCAAACACTACCGAGCATCAAACGTGAACAGGTGGTGGCCTTCATATTAATGTGGGAGCTCTCACTTTCA